TGCCATGGGCCCCTATACCGCCCCTCATGCCTTCCCAATCCAAATTTTGTCATGGGGCCCTGTATGGGCCCCCCATTGCTGCTGCCCCCATCGCCACACTCTTCCATGTCCACTTTCATCTCCTCACACGGGTGGGGTGTTGAATTTTTTTTACATAGGGTGCGGCAGATTCCCCCCTCCTATAGCTGCTGCCAGGCCCCCAACTGCCATGGGGCCCCCATATAAAAACCCCCCCCCCTCCCCCATGCGGGTGCCAATCCCGAGTCTCTCATGGGTCCCTGTACGGCCCCCCCATTTCTGCTTCTCCCTCGCCACCCCGCCATTGCCACTTTCAGGTCTCCTCCAAAACAAAACTGCGGGTGTTTGAATTTTTTGGGCATAGGGGGCTGGGAGATTAAAGGGCCTCCCTAGCTTTCTGCCAAGGGCCCCCAATCTGCCATGGGCCCCCCATATACCCCCCCCTCCTCATGCCCGCTCCAGGTCCAGGCCCCTCATGGGTCCCCGTACGGCCTCCCTTTGCTGCTGTCCCCCCATCCCCCACACTCTGCCAAAGGCCCCTTTCAGGTTTTCCTCACACGCTGGTGGTTTAATTTTTTGAAAAAAGGGTGCTGGGAGATACGGGCCCCCCTATAGGGTCCCACCAGGGCCCCTAACTGCCCTGGGGCCCCCAAACCCCCCCTCATTTCGGGTGGGGGAAAGGGCCCCAGTCTCTCATGCCATGTCCACTTTCAGTCCCCTCACACTGCTGGTGTGTTGAATTTTTTGACATAGGGGGCGGGAATTTCGGGCCTCCCATAGCTGCTGCCCGGCCCCTAATCGCCCCCTGGGGGCCCCATAAAACCCCCCGCCCCTCATGCTGCGCCATCCAGATCTCTCATGGGGCCCTGTACGGCCTCCCCTTGCTGCTGTCTCCACCCAACTCCCGCCATTCCCCTTTCAGGGCTCCTCACACCCCGCTGGGGGTGTTGAAAAAATTTTTTACAAAGGGTCTGGGAGATTTCTGCTGCCAGGCCCCTAATCTTCCATGGGCCCCTAAACCCGCCTCCCTCATGCTGCTGCCAGGTCCACAGTCTCTCATGCCATGTGCCACTTTCAGGTCTCCACACACTGCTGGGTGTGTTCAATTTTTTGACATAGGGTGCTGGCAGATTACGGGCCTCCCATAGCTGCTGCCAGGCCCCTAATCTGCCATGGGCCCCTATATACCGCCTCCTCATGCTGCTGTCAGGTCCAGAGTCTCTCATGGGTCCCTGTACGGCCTCCCATTGCTGCTGTCTCCATCGCCACACTCTGCCATGTGCCACTTTCAGGTCTCCTCACACACTGCTGGTGTGTTGAATTTTTTGACATAGGGTGGCTGGCAGATTACGGGCCTCCCATTGCTGCTGCCAGGCCCCGTAATCTGCCATGGGCCCCCCGTACCGACTCCTCATGCTGTGACGTTGCAACAAGGTGGAATTCAACCCTACATATGTTAGACCGCCTTTAACGAACAGCGAAAGGCCGTCACAGATTTCCTGATGTTAAAAGCGGATAAAGGTACTCCCTGTGTAACTTAGATGTCAGCCATTGGCAGCTCATGCGTGACACCTGCGCTTGCTCAGGCCCTTTGAGGAGGCCACGCTATTCGTGAGTCGCCAGGACTATGGGATGAACGACGTCATTCCTCTGTTGCACGTCCTGGAACAAATGCTGTTAACAATGGCTGGTCAGGGTGCGGTAGACGTGGCGCACAGATCTCAACGCCACATGACCCCTGTGGGGGCAAGGACAGGAAGAAGAGGAGGAGGTAGAGGAGGACATTGGTGCTCAGGAATTATGAGTGAAATGGGTGGTTTTCCACTCAGCGGACAGGAGTGGAGGGCAGGAGCATCTGGTAGAGGAGGAGGAAGAGGAGACAGAGGACCCAGACGCACCGTGGCAGTATGCTGTGGAGATGGAGGCAGGGAGTCCCTCGCATTCCTTGGCACAAATGGCCCATAGCATGCTCGCTGGCTTGCGTACCGGCAGCCGAATAATAACCATCAGACAGAGGGATGACTTTTGGCTGTCCACCTTGTTGGACCCTCGCTACCGTTCCAAAATGGTGGCCTTTTTCACACCTGCTGAGAGGGAGGCCAAAATAAAGTACTATAAAAACACCTATGTAGTCAGCTGGTCTCTGCCTGTCTGCGCCAACGTCCATCCTCAGACACTGTGGGGCCCTGTGCGCTCGCGTTACGCTGCCATGGCAGCAGGGGAGGGGTGGGGTGGTAGGAGCAGTGGCAGCTCCACCAGCAGCAGCTGCCTCAGTCTGCAGTCGATGATGAGTAGCTTTCTTCACCAGCCGCAGTGAGGAAACTAATAATCAGCCGCAGCAGCAGCAGCAGCAGCAGCATCAGGTGGACCTGGAGCAGGACCTCAAACAACAGGCTTAGGCCTACTTGGACAGCACCCTGCCAACCGAGTAGACAATCCCCTTGACTACTGGGCAACGAAACTTGACCTTTGGCCCCAACTAGCTGAATTTGCCCTTGAAAGGCTGTCATGCCCGGCCAGTAGCGTGGCATCGGAGCGCGTGTGTTTAGTGCGGCAGGAGTATTGTAACTCCGCGGAGGACACGACTGTCCACCCAAAGTGTGGAGAGACTCACGTTTGTGAAAATGAATCAGGCGTGGATTAGTCTGGATTTCAAACCACCAGTTCCTGACACAACTGACTAAATCCGCCATGAATCATGCCCCAAACATGTGCCAACTTTCAGGTCTCCTCACACTGCTGGTGTGTTCCATTTTTTGTCATAGGGTGCTGGCAGATTACGGGCCTCCCATAGCTGCTGCCAGGCCCCTAATCTGCCATGGGCCCCTATACCGCCTCCTCATGCTGCTGCCAAGTCCAGAGTCTGTCATGGGTCCCTGTACGGCCTCCCATTGCTGCTGTCTCCATCGCCACACTCTGCCATGTGCCACTTTCAGGTCTCCTCACACTGCTGGTGTGTTCCATTTTTTGTCATAGGGTGCTGGCAGATTACGGGCCTCCCATAGCTGCTGCCAGGCCCCTAATCTGCCATGGGCCCCCGTACCGACTCCTCATGCTGCTGCCAGGCCCGTAATCTGTCATGGGCCCCTGTTGTCGCTTGTTGGCATATTCCGCTCGTTCAGATGCTCCTTCTCCTGCTACTCCTCTTCACGGATTCCGTCAGCAGTCTTTCTTGGAATCGTTTCCAAGAGACAACAGTTTTGCGAGCACGCACCCGACGGTGCAGAAGCTGAACGTCCTCCTGTCCAAGTTGCTGCTTGCCAGGCTCGTAATCTGTCATGCGCCCCTGTACCGCCTCCTCATGCTGCTGCCAGGTCCAGAGTGTGTCATGGGCCCCCGTACCGACTCCTCATGCTGCTGCCAGGCCCGTAATCTGTCATGGGCCCCTGTACCGCCTCCCCATGCTGCTGCCAGGTCCAGAGTGTGTCATGGGTCCCCTGTACGGCCTCCCATTGCTGCTGCCAGGCCCGTAATCTGCCATGGGCCCCCCGTACCAACTCCTCATGCTGCTGCCAGGCCCGTAATCTGTCATGGGCCCCTGTACCGCCTCCTCATGCTGCTGCCAGGTCCAGAGTGTGTCATGGGTCCCTGTACGGCCTCCCATTGCTGCTGTCTCCATCGCCACACTCTGCCATGTGCCACTTTCAGGTCTCCTCACACTGCTGGTGGTTTCCATTTTGTCATAGGGTGCTGTATGGCCTCCCATTGCTGCTGCCTCCACCGCCACACTGTGGCTCCACACTCTGGTTTTGGCCCCGTGACTGCCCAAATGAGTGAAGTGTGCGGTGATTCTAAGATCGACGGCACTCATCTGCATGTCCATACTGACTGTCAGTATTATTTCTCTTCCCCAGCAGACTCCAAGGGCATTTAAATTAAAGGTACAGTGTTCTGCACTAATATAAAGGCTCTCTGAAGCCTAGAAACACCCTTTTATAAGTTAAATTCGCAGCGAATATATTCGACTCGAATCAAAATTTTCCACGAATTCGCCGAATCAGTCGAATCGAATTTTTGAATACTTCGCTCATCTCTAGTATTATACATGGAGATCATATCCCCCTTATGTATTATACATGGAGATCATATCCCCCCTTATGTATTATACATGGAGATCATATCCCCCCTTATGTATTATACATGGAGATCATATCCCCCTTATGTATTATACATGGAGATCAATCCCCCCTTATGTATTATACATGAGATCATATCCCCCTTATGTATTATACATGGAGATCATATCCCCCTTATGTATTATACATGGAGATCATATCCCCCTTATGTATTATACATGGTGATCATATCCCCCCTTATGTATTATACATGGTGATCATATCCCCCCCCTTATGTATTATACATGGTGATCATATCCCCCCCTTATGTATTATGGAGATCATATCCCCCCTTATGTATTATACATGGAGATCATATCCCCCCTTATGTATTATACATGGAGATCATATCCCCCCTTATGTATTATACATGGAGATCATATCCCCCCTTATGTATTATACATGGAGATCATATCCCCCTTATGTATTATACATGGTGATCATATCCCCCTTATGTATTATACATGGAGATCATATCCCCCCTTATGTATTATACATGGAGATCATATCCCCCCTTATGTATTATACATGGAGATCATATCCCCCCTTATGTATTATACATGGAGATCATATCCCCCCTTATGTATTATACATGGAGATCATATCCCCCCCTTATGTATTATACATGGAGATCATATCCCCCCTTATGTATTATACATGGAGATCATATCCCCCCTTATGTATTATACATGGAGATCATATCCCCCCCCTTATGTATTATACATGGAGATCATATCCCCCCTTAATCTCCTCTTACATAGAGAATACATCAGTTCCTCTAATCTCTCCTCATAGCTGATCCCTCCATGTATTATACAGTTTGGTTGCCCTTCTCTGTACTTTCTCCAGTCCCCCAATGTTCTTTGTATTAACATGGAGATCATATCCCCCCCAAAATCTGAGACTCCCCCCTCCGTATATCCAGAAGAGATCAATACTTATGTTTATACATGGAGGGGGGTGATATCTCTCTTTCTAGGACGTCCTCATTACCCTCTCCAAATACAAGAATACATTGATCTCCCCCATAGCCTCTCCATGCCTGATCAAGTTTGGCTGCCCTTCTCTGTACTTTCTCCAGTTTCCCCAATGTTCTTTTTGTGAATTGGTTGCCCAAAACTGAACTGCATATTCCAGATGAGGTCTTACTAATGATTTGTACCGGGGGGGGGGGGGATATCCTCTCTCTCTGGAGTCCTATACCTCTCCTAATACAAGAGAGGATTTTGCTCGCTTTAGAACCCGCAGCTTTGCATTGCTGCCATTATTAAGCTGGTAATCTACCATAACCCCCAGATCCTTCTCCACCATTGACCCCTCCAGATCCTTCTCCACAATTGCCCCCCAGAACCTTCTCCACCATTGACCCCCCCAGATCCTTCTCTACCATTGACCCCCCCAGATCTTTCTCCACTATTGACCCTCCAAATCCTTCTACACCATTAACCCCCCAGATCCTTCTCCACCATTTGACCCCCCCAGATGCTTCACCACCATTGACCTCCCCAGATCCTTCTCCACTATTGCCCCCCAGATACTTCTCCACCATTGACCCCCCAGATACTTTTCTACCATTGACCCCCCCAGATCCTTCTCCACCATTGACTCCCCAGTTGTACCCCCCTAGCATGTAAGATGCATGCATATTCTTAGCCCCCAAGTGCAGAACCTTACATTTATCACCATTAGCCCTCATTGGCCCCATAGTCCCCCAATTACACAGAGCATTGAGGTCGGCTTGTAAGTTGGAGACATCCTGTAAGGACGTTATTCCCGGCACAGCTTGGTGTCATCTGCAAAGACTGGAATGGGATTTATAATCTCACACCCCATATTGTTTTATATATATATATATTAAAAAGTAAGGGTCCCAACACTGAACCCTGGGGGTACCCCACTAATAACACTGAACCTTGGGGTACACCACTAATAACACTGAACCTTGGGGAACCCCACTAATAACACTGACCCTTGGGGTACCCCACTAATAACACTGAACATTGGGGTACCCCACTAATACCACTGAACCTTGGGGAACCCCACTAACACTGAACCTTGGGGAACCCCACTAATAACACTGAACCTTGGGGTACACCACTAATAACACTGAACCTTGGGGTACCCCACTAATGACACTGAACCTTTGGGTACCCCACTAAACACTGAACCCTGGGGTACCCCACTAATAACACTGAACCTTGGGGTACCCCACTAATAACACTGAACCCTGGGGTACCCCACTAATAACACTGAACCTTGGGGTAGCCCACTAATAACACTGACCTTGGGGAACCCCACTAATAACACTGACCCTTGGGGTACCCCACTAATAACACTGAACATTGGGGTACCCCACTAATACCTCTGAACCTTGGGGAACCCCATTAATAACACTGAACCTTGGGGTACACCACTAATAACACTGAACCTTAGGGTACCCCACTAATAACACTGAACCTTTGGGTACCCACTTATAACATTGAACCTTGGGTACCCCACTAATAAAACCAAACCTTGGGGTACCCCACTAACCCCTTCCATACTGGGCACTTTTACCCCTCTGAACAATTATATCATAAGGGCATGCCCTATTAATAAATTATATAAATATATCACCATATATAAAGTGACCAAAAAATAAATAAAATATCCAAAAACCACATGGTGTGTAAAATAAATATAGTGTCCAAAAACAATATATAAATATATCTATTAGTGTCCAAAAATAATCTTCAGTGACTTCATAACACTGAGAAATCCACCACCAAAAGCGATTGAATGATCTCACCAGAGCTATTTGCTGGTCAAATTATAAACCTGCAACAGCGCTTGTGCTCTGGGAGCGATGAATAATGATGTCCAATTAGTAGATGTAGTAATACTCAATCACTTTCCAGGTAATCAATAATAGTAAGCAGCCTGAGGAATACTATATCCCCATCATAGGAAATACTCTGCAGCTAAAGGATCTCATGGGAAATGTCTCCACTCCATTTCATACCTCCATATATACATGCAGCACACTCAGGAACAAAGAAGAGAACATAATGGTGCCGTACGTTTTTACCATTTATCTGGAGGGGCTTTGGAGGGGCTCTGAAATAGATCTTCATGTATTTTCAAATTGTATTAATGAGAATTGTTGTGGTTTAAAGTTTACAGTTTCTAAGGATTTTGAACGGGTTAATTTCCTGGATTTAAACTTCTATAAATATGAGGGACAGATTTATACTAAATCTTTTGTTAAAGATATTGATAAAAACAGCTCCATTCCAGTTTCTAGTGGACATCATCCTAAATGGCTATATAATACCCCAAGGAGCCAGTTTACGAGGATTAAAAGAAACTGTAGTTTAAGGAAAGATTTTGTTGACCAAACCGATCTATTGATAGACAGGTTTATTGATAAAGGATATAAAAAAACCCTTTTTGGTGGCTGAAAGGGAAGTTATTGATAGAAAAGATAGTAGTTTCCTGTCTAAGAGAAAGATTAAAAATGATAGATTTGATATTGCCTTTATTACCAACTTTAATAATCAATATAAAAAGATTGAGGGTATTTTTAAAAAATGTTGGTCAATTTTGTTAAAAGATGAGACACTGAAAAAGATTATTCCTGAAAGACCTAAATTTATTTATAAGAAAAATAGATCTTTAAGGAGGAAATTGGTACATAATGTTTTAGATCCACCTAAAGAAGTAAACTTCTCCCTGATCTTAAGGGCTTTGTTTATTGTAACAAATGTAAAGCATGTAGAACGGTTAATAGATCTGGGAAAATAAAAAGGAAGAAATTTGTTTCAAATATAACAAAAAAGGAATATAGTATTGATCAACTTATTTCATGTAATTCCTCTCATGTAATATATGTTTTAGAATGCCCTGCCTGCATTTTTACTGTTCTTTCTGCCTGGAAACTGAGAAACGTCCATGGCATCCAAAAAGCGTCCCTTTAGCCAACAACTCTTTATTTTTCACAAACAACAGAATATATACAGAGGGCGGGGAAACACAACCAGGAACAGGAAATACATCATCAGCCCACCCTCTCAGCGGGAAGGGCTACAGCATAGGCAGGAAACACCTCATCACCCCTCCCCATCCAACCAGACACAGAACAATGAGATGCAACCATGTGGCAAAGGACATTGACCAACCCCCACACCAATACAAACAGTACATCCCATAATAGTTCTCTGGACAGGAAGACACAGCACAATGGGGGGTAGCACATGGTAGTAGACAATGGACAGCCATGTGGCCTAGACAAAGGGACACACACTATACACAGGACTCAGACATTCACATACACACCCTGTAACCCTTAACAGGCACAGGGTGGGTTAAACATAATGATTTGGGGAGATGATACAGAGGTCCCCCCACCCCCAAAAGTCGCTCCCGTCACACTCTTTGTCTTTGTATTTTAGTCTATGGCCGGGAGATGAGGAAAACCTCCGAGGATTGTCTCACTTTGTCTCCAGACTGGAAAGTAGAAGATGAGGACATCACACAGTATAGTCCAGGAGAAAACCCGACTCCCTCCAATGTCCATCCGGCACCACCCAGTGTAGATGGACCATCGGATTCCTTGGATCCTGAGGAACCTCAGACTGTGTGGGACCGGGCCGGCCTTCCAACAGGGAAGAGATTCTCCTGTACTGAGTGCGGGAAGGGTTTCTGTTCTAAATCTGTTCTTAATAGGCATAAAAGATCTCACACGGGGGAGAAGCCGTATTTCTGTACAGAGTGCGGAAAATGTTTTTCAGTGAAGTCTAGTTTTCACACACATCAAAGAACTCTCACACGGGGGGAGAAGCCGTATTCCTGTCCTGAGTGTGGGAAAAGTTTTTTCAGTGAAGTCCAGTTTTCACATACATCAAAGAACTCACACGGGGGAGAAGCCATATTCCTGTCTTGAGTGTGGGAAAATTTTTTTCAGAGAAGTGCAGTCTTTACACACATCAGAGATCTCACACGGGGGAGAAGCTGTATTCCTGTCCTGAGTGTGGGAAATCTTTTTTCAGTGAAGTGCAGTCTTTACACACATCAAAGATCTCACACGGGGGGAGAAGCCATATTCCTGTCCTGAGTGTGGGAAATCTTTTTCAGAGAAGCCAGACTTTACACACATCAAAGAACTCACATGGGGGAGAAGCCATATTCATGTCCTGAGTGTGGGAAATGTTTTTCAGTGAAGTCCCATCTTTACACACATCAAAGATCTCACACGAGGGAGGAGAAGCCACTTTCCTGTCCTGAGTGAGGGAAGTGTTCCTCACTGAAGTCCTGTCTTCCTGTACATCTGGGATTATAATGGGGAAGACAGATCAGACAGGGGTCAGTACTTATTGGGGTTTGGAATGGGAAAAGATAGGGGGAGGGCTATGGCAGATGGTAAGAAGGTTCCCATGTTATAAACAAACCAGTGGAATTGGTACCATTTGTAGGAAAATAAAAATTACACAAAAACCGTGTGAACAAGGTGTCAGTGATTGAACAAGGTGTCAGTGAATGAACAAGGTGTCGGTGAATGGACAAGGTGTTTCAGTGAATGGACAAGGTGTCGGTGAAAATATATTCCCATGGGCAACAAGTATAAAAGGCTACAAATCCAACCTATGTGGCTTACGGCCAAAGTTACAAAAGCGATAGATAATAAGAAAAGAGCTTTTATTAAATATAAAAATGAAGGAACGCGATCATCGTTTACACATTACAAAGAATAGAACAGAATATGCAAAAAGGAAATAAAGGCACAAAAACTGAAAACAAACGACAGAAAGATATCAGGACGACCCCAAAACATTCCTCCAATATATGAATAGTAGAAAGGTCCGGTCCCAGCATGTAGGCCCTTTACAGAACCATCTAGAGGGGGGGGACAAAGAGAAGGACAATGTATGAAATCCCTTCTTCAGCTCTGTGTATACAAAGGAGCATGGGGGGGCTCTTGTCCATAATGGGGGGTGGTACTGACACCCCCAGATGATCCACATTGGCTCACAATTGATATGATCCAGAAATATTTAGACAGAATAAAGGTGAATAAAGCCCCTGGACCGGATGGCAGACACCCACGGGGCCTTAAAGAATTCAGCTCTGTCATCTCACAGCATTGTTTCTCATTTTTAGGGACTCTTTAACATCTTCAGCCCCAGCCACTGCATATGTATGTTTGCAGGGTGGCACGGCTGCACAAAACCACGTTTTAAAACGTGTTTTTGCAAAACAGGTAGGGGGCGCGCATGAGGCGCGTGCCCGCCCTACCTGTCCCACGGGTGTCAGCAGTGGGTCTCTGCCGCCCGGTCACGGCCGGTCATTACCGGCCGTTTTCCCCGCGATTCACGGTGATCGCTGACAGAGAGCAGGGCTGCATTGTTTACACACATCCCTGCTCTGTGTCAGTTCCCTGACAGCTCGTGACAAGCTGAAGAGGGAGAGAAGAGTTTTTCTCTCTTGATCAGCCTGCCCCCGTCCAGCACACACACCCCCGCCCCCTAGTAAAACACTCCCCTCACACAGTAAACCCTAAAAAAATGTTAACCCCTTCCTCCCCAGTGCCATTAGTACAGTGTCAGTGGGGTTTTTTTTTTTTTCACTGATCACTGTATTGGTGTCACTGGGGGATGTCAGTGACCCCAAGTTAGTTCCCCCCCAGTGTCAAAATGTCCGCAGCAGTCCTGCCATAAGTCGCTGATCGCCGCCATAAGTCACTGATCGCCGCCATATGTTGCTGATCGCCGCCATTATTAGTATAAAAAAAATTAAAAAAATCCCAGTATCTTTCCCGCCATTTGTAAACGCTATAACTTTCATGTAAACCAATTAATTTACACCTATTGGAATTTTTTTTAGCAGAGACATGTCGCAGAATGCATTTTGGACGAAATTTGTAACAAAATTTATTTTTTAAATTTTTTTTTACTGGACATGTTTTATAGCAAAAACTCCAAAATATTGTTTTTTTTTCTAAAAATTGTCAGCCTTTTTTTTTAAAGCGCAAAAAAAAATGAAAATTCACAGGCGATCAAATACCACCGAAAGAAAGCTCAATTTGTGTGAAAAAAAGGATGTAAATTTAATTTGGGTGCAGTGTTGCATGACCGTGCAATTGTCAGTTAAAGTAACGCAGCGCCGTAACACAAACCTCTTCTGTAACCGCTTCCTGACCACCCTACAGCAGAAATACTACTACAGGGGCGTCTGCATGGGTACGCAAAATCACATATATATATACGTAATTCATGCTCCCATGGGTTTTCACACCCCTCCCAGATAGTGTCAGATTGACCATCAGTACACCAGTCATCACATTTAACCCCTTGATTGCCAGGAGTATGCTCATCCACAATAACCTCCATTGCTAGTATAGTGTCTGAACGGATCAATATCTTTGATCAGATCAGCACTATACCAGCGTTCACATTAGTATAGAGTCCCCAAAAAATGCAGCGTTAGCGGGATCAGCCCCGGCACCTGCCAACACCTGCGTTTAGCCCCTACACTTACCCCCTTCTCCCCCAGCAAGTGCAGTGTCAGTAGGTCACTGTCACTTGATACATTGCACACAAAACCGCAGTGTTCGCGGAATCAGGCCTGATCTCTGTTAGCACTTGCCGGTAAATTTTGATGACTCTGATATGCAGCAGAGTGCCAGTACTAGTGCCGCGCTAACCTTTTGGTGAACTGGCGAGTACCAGCGGTCTAGTACATCTTGGTCTTTCACATACCTCCTTGATTTTTGGAGCTGTTTTTCACGGAATATCTGTATGCGTTGATTGTGGATCAAAGCAGTTTACATGCACAACAATTTATTGCCGCCAACCCAAATTCAAACCTTGCCAGACCATTCGCATGGAAACTTATTACGGTTTTCAAATTTAAATTTTTTTGGGCCTAACCCTCAACATGGGCATTACTAAAAGAAATGAATTGCGGTTGTATTGGATTGTCTCACTTTTTCTCCAGACTGGAAAGTAGGAGATGAGGACATCACACAGTATAGTCCAGGAGAAAACCCGGCTCCCTCCAATGTCCATCCGGCACCACCCAGTGTAGATGGACCATCGGATTCCTCGTATCCTGAGGAACCTCAGACTGTGCGGGACCAGGCCGGCCTTCCAACAGGGAAGAGCTTCTCCTGTCCTGAGTGCGGGAAATGTTTTTCAGTGAAGTTCAGTCTTTCAAGACATCAGAGATCACACACGAGGGAGAAGCCATATTCTTGTCCTGAGTGCGGTTATTAAAATGTTTTTCACTGAAGTCCCATCTCTCCACACATCAGAGATCTCACACGGGGGTGATGCCATATTCTTGTTCTGAGTGTGGAAAATGTTTTTTCACAGATATCCAATCTTCACACACATCAGAGATCACACACTGGGGAAAAGCCATATTCCTGTCCTGAGTGCGGGAAACGTTTTTTCACATAGATCCAATCTTTACACACATCAGAGATCTCACAATTGGGAAAAAGCCACTTTCATGTCCTGAGTGAGGGAAATGTTCCTCACTGAAGTCCTGTCTTCCTGTACATCAGGGGTCCCACACAACCCTGGAGGTGTATTAGTGCCTTGAGTGTGGGAAATGTCTTCTAGATGAATGTTGCTGGACATCCCAGCTCTCATGTGGGGAAGAAGTTACACCCTGATATACACCTCAGATATACTCCATGGCTGATCTTCATCATGGAAGAAACAGTTCATAAGGAGATCAGAGGTCCCCAAAGACATGGATGAAGTGTGGGACCGGGTTGGCCATTGATGGAAGGAGAAGAATAAAAATGGAGTCCTGACCTGTCATTGGCTGAGTACATTTTGTGGTGGGAGATTTCACAAACACTTAGAGGTCTGTTTAAAAAAAATAGTTCTTCTTCCTGTGTACCGGACACTTCCCCCCCTTCCTGCCCAGGCTGACTGGTAACTATCAGTGCTCTCACACTTTGAATGACAATTACACAGTCATGCAACATTGTACCCAAATTATATTTTTTGGATTTTTTTCACACAAATTGATATTATTTTGGTGGTATTTAAAACCACTTTTTACTTGTTTCTTGTTTTTACAAATAAATCGTCTTTCCTTATCAATGTAGACAAAGGTGTATTCTGCTCCATTTCTTGGGTACAATAACCCCAATCAGTGTCTATGATTCAGTGTGTAAGAGAGTTATAGGCCCTGATTTACTAAGAATTGAGTCTACCAGCAGATGCTGAACATTCAGGCAGACTCAATTCAAACACTCTAGACCTGTCAGTCTTCTGAAAGGCGTCTAGCAAACTCATTGAAAAGCCTCTACTTGTAGACTCTTTCCTGTTAGTAAATGTGGAATCGTGTCGGCACATATTTAGGTGCAAATATGTTTGTTAGGTGGAGCACAAACCACAGGCTTTTGTTGGCCTTTTTTTCTGTTCGCATATGAGAATACTTATAATTTAAAGTAAAAGTACACCTATATATATATATATTTTTTTTTGGTTGCTGTTTCTCCAAAATGATCGACCAACTAATGCATTTCCTAATGAATGTCATACATTCTATTTTCAGATGTTTTAAACATTTTCACACTTATATCTCAAATAATTGGGAATGTCTAGTTCTAATTTCCCAATATAATGATATATCTTCCTTCTCTTTAATCATGTAACTATTCTATGTTAAAGTAATGGTGCAGCGCTATAAATGCATGTTATCAATCATAAAACGGATGTAAAATCAAAAACATGCAAATAAGTACCACACGTGCCATTCAATAGGCACTCTCTGAGTTGGTACTCTCACACCAAGGACATTCCATTATTCAGGAATGATTAGTGAACTTTTTTAGCACCATTTTTACCAGTTTACATCATTATTGTACTTATTTGCACTTTTTTTATTTTACATGCGTTGATGATTGATAACATGCATTTATAGCGCTGCACTATTACTGTAACATATTTTCTATTCTGGGACTGTTGCCAATACCCTGAGTGCTAGATGCTACCTTTCATATCTATACCTAGATTTATATTGATCTTGTGTAATACCATTTTAGTAGTCTATATCATTTGACCAGCGCTCGCTTTATCATTAATTGGAAACAATGTAACTATTCTACATTGCAGCTCAAGCTGTGTCTCCTCCAGTGGCTGAGTGGTTAGAACTCAGAACATACAGCAATTGGGTCATGGGTTCTAATCCCAGTCATGGCTGCATCTCAGTTTGCATGCTTTTTTTGCACGGGTGTGTTTCGGCCAACACTCCAAAGACATGCTGTTAGGTTAATTGGCCTAGTAATAATGTCTGAGCTTCTGGTCTTATGCAGGCCATAGATGGGTTAAAAAAAGCCGTTTTTTTAAAACGAAAAATCGATCGTTCAATAAAAATATTGGCAGATTTTCGTCCCGTCTGCAACCGGCATTTTTACTTCTGTCCCTGCAGAGAGCTCCGCTATTATATTTTACATAAAAAGTCTTGCAGTTGCAACAATGTATCCATTTGTATCCATTTTGGATACAGATGTTTTTATTTGGATACAAATAGATATATTGTTGCAATCGCAAGACTTTTCATATAAAATATAATAGCGGACTGGAATTCTTCTTCTTCTTTTGCAGGTCCGCGGCCCATGCGCAAATTTTTTTATCGGTAAAAAACGATCGGCTGATTTGCCCATCATTGCCGGGAAAATCGGACGATCGTCAAAATCGGCTGCGTCCCTGTTCTTCTGACAAGTTTGAAACTTTCAATTTTTTTCATTCTGTTTATATTTCATTACAACTTTATGTTCTCTAAGGCTGCGTTCACATACACTAGCTTTGTCAGCAGGCATCAGACAGGCATTTGGGAAGCGTTTTTTATGCTTCTCAAATGCCTATGAAAATTCTTCACATAGCAGCACACAGTGCTGTTCAAACTGAAGCGTTAGTATTGCTTCATGGCAAAAACTGGCACCTCATGTCCAGGTAGGAGGAGTTGAAGCCTCGCATTCAAGTCTATGGTGCCACTCCTCAAATGCCTGGCAGACGTTTGCGGTGTGGTTTGCGAGGCATTTTCAGAGCGTTAATACCATTTAACTTTCATTACAGGCATTTGTGGTGCAGTTTTAACGCTTGGTAAATGCTTATCACATGCATCAAAACCACACATAGGGCATTTGGGGAGCATTTGAGGAGCATTAAAAACGCTTCCCAAACACCTGTCCAATGCTATAGGGGTGTATGGCAAGAGTTAGAAAATAAAGTCACGTGTGAACAAGCTCTTAAACCTCTCTGCTTATACAACCTTGTCCCTCTCACCCACCTCCCCTGTCATATCACCTGTCCCCCTCCCCACCCCCCTGTCATCACCTATTCCCTCCCCCACCCCCCCTGTCATCACCTGTCCCTTTCCCCCACCCCCCTGTCATCACCTTTCCCCCTCCCCCCACCCCCATCATCAACTGTTCCCCTCCCCCACCCCCCTGTCATCACCTGTTCCCCTCCCCCACCCACCTGTCAAATCACCTGTTCCCCTCCCCCCATCATCACCTGTTCCCCTCCCCCCATCATCACCTGTTCCCCTCCCCCCACCCCCTGTCATTACCTGTTCCCCTCCCCTACCCCTGTCATCACCTGTCCCCCCCCATCATCACCTGTCCCCCCAACATCACCTGTTCGCCTCCCCCCATCATCACCTGATTCCCCTCCCCCACCCCCCATCTCACCACTAGTCTGATTGAATTCACAATTCCTCGTCATCCCCTTCCCTGACCTATAATAACCTTTAGGCCAGTTCACACTACATGTGTTTCAGTTGCTTTTTTGGCATCACAAATGCACAGAAAGAAGGTTTAATGGTTGTCAATGTCATAGTTCACATCAGCGCTTGCAGTTCCAGTGCGTTGCAGGTGCTGCCAAAAAAGGAGAACAGGCTGCAGTGTTTATGCACAGAACTGTACTGGAACGCGGTAAAACGCCCTGGAATGCACTAAAACGCACATGTCCCTAATTAAGTTTAAGAAAAAGAGAGGGGAAAAAATTAACTTTGAATGCATAAAAAAATGCAGTGGAACACGTCAAAAATGCATCCAAACTGCACTGGAACACGCTAAACATGCATCAAGAAAAAGTGCATGCAAAAACATCTGGAACACATCTAGACTGTTTCTATAGTGTGAACTGGCCCTTAGGACTTGTTCACACCATTTTGTGGTGCAGAAACGCATGCAAGAGCACACATTGTCCAGCACAGCAAAGAAATGCAATGCCCTCTGCAGATGTGTGCAGGTACCATGATGAAAACTTAATTGCACCTCCACATGTCTAGTAAACACAGAGGCATTCACAGCCACCAAAAACGCATGGCACCACACTACTGTGCGGTTAGGTGCAACACACTTTTACAATAACATGCCTGCAGTATTTTTGCATGTACCCCACACGTCAGGCAGCCCATTGAAATTAATGAGCTGAGGAAAAAAAAGTAAAAAATGCCCCATTCACACAGGTCCTCTGGCCTGTATAGCATGAATGGGGGGGTTGTTCATGTGGCTGGAGACACACTGTATAGTTAGGAAGAACCTTGAACCTCTGCTATGTACCTCAGTGGATCTAGGAATTGGACATGTTTTCAACTGAAAATACAACAATTATTATTAATGTTTCCCCAGCAAATGAGGATCAGCTGCTCGGTGGAGAACAGCGATCTCGCCATGTCCAGATGTGGTCTGGAATTCCACAAAAGAACAATTCACAAACTAAAAAATAGACTTGTAAATGACCACTAAACTCTCCTAACTACACTCCCATCCACTCACACTCCCCACTACCACTTCTGGGTGTGTGCAAACGTCCTTCCGCAAACGTCATGACGTAATTTCCGGTATGACAGCTGCTCTAGCGCCTCCTCCAACAGCCGTCTTGGGCGTTTTATTTGTGCACCATAGCAATTTTACATGTGGCTCCCATTGTGTATATGACATTCGCAAATATATGTTTGCCAGTTCTATTGTGGATTTGGCATTGGTGGTAATGTGTGAATGCTTGCAGCTCTACTGTGTATATGACATTGGTGAATGTATGCTTGCAGCTATACTGTGGTATATGACATTGGTGAATGTATGCTTGCAGCTATACTGTGTATATGACATTGGTGAATGTATGCTTGCAGCTATACTGTGTATATGACATTGGTGAATGTATGCTTGCAGCTATACTGTGTATGACATTGTGTGAATGTTATGCTTGCAGCTATACTGTATATATGACATGGGTGAATGTATGCTTGCAGCTCTACTGTGTATATGACATTGGTGAATGTATGCTTGCAGCTCTACTGTGTATATGACATTGGTGAATGTAATGCTTGCAGCAATACTGTGTATATGACATTGGTGAATGTTATGCTTGCAGCTCTACTGTGTATATGACATTGGTGAATGTATGCTTGCAGCTCTACTGTGTATATGACA